AAACTTCTTTATTCCTTTTCATGAAGTCTTACTTAAATGATTGAAAATGATTGTTAATAATAAAAATACCTACGTATTTTTACGATTGAAAACTTTGAAATAAATGTTTACGAACACTTATATCATAATAGATTTTTGCAAAGGTATTTACACTGATATCTCAAGCTTAATACGAACCAGAAACCGAAGCAGAGCAGGATAGAGTTAAGTTAACCCATTTATGACGGATTTACTTTAAAAATACAAAAAAAAAAATTTCTAAAGACTGATCGGATATACAGGATGTCCCAAAATAAAAGGACACTCACATAAATTTGTGTATAAACTTTTATTTTCTTTTCAATAAGTAATGTTGTTCATGTGTTGATTATATGCTAGCATAGACATAGCTTTCTAGTATTTCTTCCTATTATCCATCTCGTTTATCTCTTACTTGATTTGTAAGAAATCTGATAAGATCGAAAAACTGGCTGTCCCAAAAGAAAAAGATATTCGATCAAAGAACCAATGTGTATAAGAGCCGATATTGTTATACCGACTTTTAGCTTTCAAGTATTCATATAAGACGATGAAGTTTATTACGGCGAACATTCTAACATTCTTTTAGTCTTATTTTAGATATATGTTGATTATTATAACATGCAATATCTTGCTCTCACTTTATGCAGCAGTTTCCATTTATGGCATGTTAGTTGACGTTTTTCCGATAGAGATATATAACAAATTCTATGCTAATTATGAATACGTTAAATTCTAATCAATAACTATCGCAATCAAGACCTCGTGATTTTCTTGACAATTTGCGAATGTATCAGCTGAAAATCTTTATAAACACTCGAAATATAGTCCATCTATCAATCACATTATTCAATATATGAAATCTTCTTGGCCAAGTATTTCGCATATATTTCGAGACTAAGATCATAGCTGTTCGGGACTTATTTATCATAGTTAGTCGTTAATGAGATCTTCAAAATGGTATAAGATAGTAGTAAGGGATAAGGTTGCCAAGTTAATTAATACAAGATGCATTGGTCTCATGAGATATAAATACTACTAGACCTAACCAGTTGCAACCAATGTGTCGAGTATCTTTCGATGAGCTAACTTGATATCCCCAACTATCTTATATCATTTTGAACATCTCATGAAGATCTGGTTACGGTAAAAAAAATCAAGAACAGATATTGCTCTGTTCATGACATATGCTCTGCATAGAATTCATAATTGAAAGGCTTCGATTGTTTTGATGCTACGTTCGATCAACGTACCAAGTATTAATTACTTTAGCAACCTTATCCTTCGCTACTATCTGATACCATTTTGAAGATCTCATTGACGATTAGCTATGATAAATAAATGGCAAACAGCTATGATCTTAGTCTCGATATATATGCAAAATACTTGGCCAAGAAGATTCTATATATTGAATAATGTGATTGATAGATGGGCTATATTTCGAGTGTCTATTAAGATTTCAGCTGATATTTTTACAAATTGTCAAGAAAACCACGAGATCTTGGTAGCATAGTTACTGGTTAGAATTTAACGTATTCATAACTGGCATTGAATGTGTATATATTTCCTCTGGAAAAACGTTAGCTAACATGCCATAAATGAAAACTGCTTCATGAAGGTTATCCAATTTTTTTGGGGCAGTCAGTTGTTCGATCTTATCAGATTTCTTACAAATCAAGTAAGAGATAAACGAGATGGATAATAGGAAGAAACACTAGAAAGTTATGTCTGTACTAGCATATAATCAACACATCAACAACACTACTTATTGAAAAGAATACGAAAGCTAATACACAAATTTATGTGAGTGTCCTTTTATTTCAAGACATTCTGTATTATTTCGTATGAATATAGAAAAAATGCCGAAAACTATTTAATAGTATAATAATGTTGAAGATGTTAGTGTGAATGATGAATGTAGGTTTTCTCTTGAGTCGTACAGACACTAACACTTTTACAATACGGATGTCAGTGTAATAGATTGATAGTCTTTATTGTATCGAAGATCATAAGAGCATGATAAAAGGTACTGCGAAAATTAATTAGGAGCTAATCCAAAAGCGTATATATATATAGGTTTCCCATCATCAACGGGTTAGAATTCTGTTGTTTTTTTTTCATAAATAATTTTCTTAGATATTTTGTTTTCATATTGAATTTTATCTTTTTTGTTTAATAATTAAAATCATAATACAGGATAATAACAAACGAAATAACAATCTGTTGTTTGTTATTTATTTATGTTGACTGATTCGATAAAATAAATGAATAGAAAATAGATTTAATTAAATATTAATTAAAATTTGTTAAATAAACCTTTTTAAAATTGAATGAAGTGAAATATGTTCAATATTGAATAAAAACAATACATAAAAATAAAAAATGTTGATTTTGATTTTGAAAATGGAAGATGATAAATCGATGACTGAATTTACAAAACAAAACTTATTAATGAAGAATTTATCAATTAAATAAAAAATAAAATAAACTTGTGTATTGATCATGGATAATTAAATTGTTTTATTTTTTATCTTCTATTCGTAGATATAATAGAAAATAATTGTCTATATAACAACAATGAATAAATTAACAAGTTTTCTTTCCTAATATTATTTTATTTAAGAAAATAAATTTGTTTTTTTTCGAAATGAAATAAAATAAAATCTTTTATCTTTTTTCATCTTAATATTCTCTATTAGAGAATTACTTTAACATTAATTTTCAATTTATTCTATTTTATATAAGATATTATTTACGGTAAATAGTTGTACATCGATCCATTCGATATATGACTATGTTATAAACACGTTTATCATAATAAATATTTCATAAAAGTAGTTCATCAAATCTTCAGCTATGTTTAACTGTCTACATATATCTATATTTGGTTATTTTGTAACAGTATATGAGAGAAAACGATCAATTTTAAAATTCTCTTCCGTTATCTTAATCGTTCATCTCATTTCTAAACTTGTCTCAACGACGGTCCGAATGAGTTATTTAAATGAAAATCATCAACCATTGTAATCAACTGAAGATAGCAAAGCTTCGTTTGTATATTAATATAGATTTTAATGAAGAATCTTTGAGAAAAAAATGTGGGGTAAATTTCAACTGATTAATCTAAATAAAGTCTTTTTTGAATATTTCTACGCTTGACTAACAACATATTGTCATGTCTAGAATTTATCTTCAGATCAATCAAATGTAATTCGTTGAAATATTTATTCTAAAGACTATTAACTTAGGGCAATATGATAATCTTATCATATAGAGCAGAACAGTTTGTGTCCTGTCGATAAATCACTCATATATTGTCAAATTTTTCATCATTAGTATGATAATGGATATTTGATAGATTGATATTGATGTGTAAAAACAATTTTTTAGTAGTAAATATAGAAATAATGATCGATATTGATATTGATGAAAAAAGGATTTATTCGAATTGAAAATAAAAGCACCCTATCGGAAAATCTCTATTCTTCGAATATTTGTGTCGAAGTGTATGTTGACTTTTTTAAAAACTTTGATTATGTTCGTAGTTTTCATAGAAAATCATACATTATTAAAACAAATCTCCTACTTATTTGTGCATTATCAACGGCAAGAATATGGAGAGAAGAACTCTTTTTTTGGCACCGATCTACAATGAAAATAAGATTTGACAACTCGAACTAATTTGTTAAATGATCACATTTTAAAGAAGAATAATCATCATTCGACGTGAATTAAATCATATTAGATCTATAAATTAATTATTCAAAGTTCGATACATTTTCATATATTGTTTTTAGTTTAGATATTCATTTATTTATTAATGATATCCCTCATTTAAAATACGCAGATAAAAACAACTTATTTTAAATTAATTTCATCATCTATTTGTAAAGATTAAAGTTTTTTTTAAGTAAAAAAATCAAAAAAAATAATTCTATAATATAAAATAAAATATAAGAATTTATTTGAAAAATACTTAGTCAATAAAGAAAAATTTTAAAAATAAACTAATAGATGATTTATGTTGATTATAGAATGTGAAAATAAAATAAAAAGATAATTAATATAATAAATATTTATTCGATTAGAAAAGTAAATTCAATTTATTTATAATTATTTGTTTTATATTATGATTCAATATGATTTATTCAAATATATTTTCTTGGTTTTAAAAAGAGATTTTATAAATATATAAGAAAATATATTTAATTGATTATTTCCAATTAATTTAAACAATATTGATAAAATGTTTCGATAAATCTAAACATGTGGTTTTTTATTTTTATTTCTATGTATATTTTTATTCAATAGAGACTTTTATTTATTCGAACAAATAAAAAAGAGACGCAATTAAGACTATGAGTTATGTTCTTAAAGATTACTAATTGATAAAATCAAATTTTATGTTATTATGAATAATTAAATTCATTTTAATGAAAATCTTTTATTTAAAATTTCTATAAAAAAAATGAGAATAATATTAAATATAAATGATTGTCTCGTTTATTGAAATGACGTTTGCTATGTATCATTGTCGAATGACTCATAACACAGATATATATTCTCATTATAATACAAGGTGAAAGAGCAATACCCGACAAGAACAATCTAGAAAAGAAAAAAAACTAACTAGTAGGGTATACTAAGTATGTATGATTTAATTGAATTGTTTTGTCCGAACGTTATATTGTCTATCTACATTCGTCTACTGGAGTAAGATAAATACCATTCATCTGCAAAGAAAGAGATTATTAAGAAAAACAAACATTACTGAGAAAAAGCCACTTATTCCAATTCCATAAGTAGAGTCTATATATATAGTAGTATCAGTCATCAGTTATCTGTCAACAAGAAATCTTTTTTTGTCAACTCCTACGGGACACAATTTAAGTTTTATATAGGAATAAAGCTATTGACTTACGATAATTATTGTTTTTATCTGTTTGTAAGTAGAACGAAGACTAAATTCACGTTATTTAACAATGGGAATATTAAAAGGAAAAGATATAGCATTAGAACATATTGAAAAATCGAAATTGGCTTTTTTAGCAACATTATCTGAAGCTGAAAAAGGACCATCAACACATTCAATGCCACCAATAGATCATTTTACATTAAAATTTGATCGAGATTCAATTAGAAATTTAAAAGGACGTGTTTATGAAAATATGAAACAATATACATATGAACAACGAGGTTAGATTTAAGATTTTTTTTTTTATTTTTATTTTTAAGTTAATTTATTTCTTTAAGGTGAATCGATCCCGGTATTTGTTGATGATAAAGAAACAACTGAAGATCGTACAGGTGCTCTTCTTAATCCAATAAAACCTGAACTTCCAACGGTTGGTCGTCGGTATGTTGCTTGTGTTTATGATGATCTGAAAGTAATTGATTGTCTTATTGATATTGATTGGAGTGAAGTTGATGAATTAATCAAAATAGCAAATTCAAGACGAAAATCAATCGTTTAAACATTTTATTTTGTTTCAACTAAAAACATTTAAGCCTTTTAGACTCTTATTTTCCTTGCTTTTTATGCTTTTTATTTCTTTATATTTTATTTAATAGACAAGAATTTTGTTTATAAATAAATATTATTTTCAGTTGTTTGATTTAATAGTTTAATCATATCGACAAATAATTTATTAGCTTTTTATTATTATAATTAATCATTGGCAACAAAGATTGAATTACGCCATAGAATTTATCTATTAGCTATTTTTCTGATAGAAATATTGAATCGATATATAATATTATTAATATTAATCTTTTTTCAAAATATAAAACAAACGATTTTCTACTGAACGTATTCGTTTTTGTTCATAAATATTTATAAAAAATAAAACAAACTATTAGAATTGAATAAATCAATTTGTAGAAATGAATGAAATAAGAAAAATTCAATTTATTTTCTTTGATTTTCCTATTCTATATTGAATAAATATAGCTATTTTTATCAATTGTTATATTATCGTCGACATCATTTTGAAAAGACACAAAGAAAAGTTCCATGAATAACAAATTGTTTAATAATATTAATTTAGGACGACGCTAAAATGATCTCGGAAAAAATAGGGGAATTGATCTCGGAGTGCTTAATTAGTCCAAAAAATGATGAAATTGATCTCGTTTTTTACCGAATACGAATTATGAGGAAATGATCTTGGAAAAAACCTCATTAACGTTGAGTCAACAAAATTAGAGGAAAAGATCTCGGTTGGATATGATAAAAAGAAAACGGAAATATAGTGTCCCACTTTATGTGTTTACTAATAAACAGAGAACAGTATTATAACGAAATACAATAATTTTATATTTATTACTATCCAATACAAAATATATAAGAAAACGTGTATAAAAAATGAGTCCTTCGACAATGAGTAATTAACTTTTTTTCTCCGTCCTTTCCCATTTCTTTTACTAATTAACTGTGAAGTTGTTCGATCTCTCCAGATCATCCTTAGACTTGCTGAATAGATACACGAATGTTGCTTCAGATTAAATTTATACGAACAGAATATTGGATGTAACGTGTTAGAAAAATTTTAAACTCGTGCTGAATTTAACTAGTGTTTAAAATGGTCATACGATAACCAAGACATTGAATAAAAATAATGTACCCAAGCGCGAGTAGTCATTTGAGACTCTGCTGCTGGAACCACAAATGTAAATGCATCTGATTGTAATATTTCGCTTCTATCAACTTTATGAGTCCAATCATAAGCTTTAATGGTCAGATCAGCATCCATGTTTAAATGTATTTGAAATGGATGTTGTACTGTATTCATTGACCAATCGCTCAACATGTCGTCAGATAAATCATTTTTACCATTCTGCTCATTCTTTCTATTCATCATATGCAGTGCTTTCTATATAACTATATGTGCATATATATGGAAAAAACCGAGATCTTTTTCTCTAATTTATACCTTTCTCTGTTAATGAGTTTTTTTCCGAGATTATTTCCTCATAATTTGTACTCGGAAAAAACCGAGATCAATTTCATCATTTTTTTGGACTAATTAAGCACTCCGAGATCATTTCCTCATTTTTTCCGAGACAAATTCCATTTTCTCCATTAATTTATAAAAGAATGTTTGATTAATTAAATGTCTAATAGAAAAAAAAAGAAAATACAAACCTATTCATCGTAGATTTGTTATCTTAAATATTTTTATAAAGTAACGTCACTTTTTATTTTATTTTATTTAAACGGTTCATCGAAATGTTCATTGTGGAAAATAATATATTATCATTGTTTACTATTTTATTCAATTGAAGTTTGTGTCTTTAACGCAAACTGTAACATGTCCACACCAGAAATGGACGTGACAGCTAAAAATCTGTTTCGCCATTGCCTTGCCGAGTCGTTTCTTAGAATATTCGCCTCGCCAGCCTTCAATTCACCAGCACCTCGTCAAGAATCTAGCATAAAAACGAACTTTTTAAATGCATTTTGTACATTACATATAACAAATACTATTTCTTTTATTTCATAAGATCAAATAAAGTACATTCAGGGGTTGTAGCGGATCTTTATTTTCCTTATTGCCTGATTTTTTCGAAATCGTTTCAATTCATTTAAATTTTTTGGTCAATAATCCGGATTTATTTGATTTTCAGCATCTTTCAGAAGAGCATCGAAAATCAAAAAAAAAATAGAATTATTTGCTAAAATTAAAATGAATCTAAATGATTTTAAAAAAAAATCAGAAAACAAGGATCCGCTGCGACCTTGTAGATTTAATGCATATAAACAGGTCCAAAAAACAAAGTGCATTTAAAGCATATAAAGATATCCAAAAACAAAAGGACAATTAATATATATAAGTAGGGGGAATTGAAATTTATTCAGTAAAAACTGTATCGTACGGAGACGAGTCGACTCACCTAATCTCAAACCGCTTCGTACTCGCCTCGCCTCGAGACGAAGCGGTGTAACTCGACGAGTTGTCGATCTCTGGTACACACTTTTTATTTACCAACATATCTAAAATAAAAATCGATTTATTTTCCTTGTTACATTATAATTGAACTTATATTTATTTCGAAAAATAATCAATAGAAAAAAAGAGTTTCTTTTTCAATTCAAATCTTCAACAAGTACTTAGAATTTAATATTTATTATTTCGAATAACCAAGATAAACTCGTTCTTAGAAAAAACCTATGTTGACTCTTTTTCGATTTTAGATAAAATGAATTTTTCCGAGCGAATCTTCTATTTGTTCTCATTTATTTTTATCAATTTTAATTAAAAGAATCTTCCAATGAAATTTTAAACATTTTAATAATTTTAAGATAATAACCAACAATAAAATAATATTTATTTTATTATGTTTAAAGAATTTTTTACCTTTCAACGAAATAATTAATTGTTTAAAAAAATAAAAACGTATTAGATTTTTATTAACTATTTATTTAATTATCGAATTTACAAATACAGGGTGTCACAAAAGTCATTTTACACTTGGTATTGTATTTAACATATATCGTCAATATGAAGAACTTAAATCTTATTCTTATATATACTTGTACTTAGGAATAAGATACATATAACCACCAATATACTTGCTTTCGACAGTAATAATGTCTTGAACAAAAATACAAATTTCATTTTTTTTCAATAAAATATAAGTTTACAATGATGAAATTATCTTTTCAATATTCTCCCAACTAACATCGAAAAATAAAAATGCCGAAAAATAAAAATGTCAAAAGTAAAAATGTAGAACTGTGAATCTCGAAATGTGGAAGCGATGAAATACAAAAAATATCGAATAATAAAAATATCGAAAGTAAAATTATCGAAATATATATTTTTTCATGATAGTTCTAATGTTTGAAATTAGCGAAGTGCAATATGAAAAGTAGAACACTCGATGACTTAAGTGAGGGTGTGGGTGTTGATGTGTAGTCGTCTATCAGTAAATTGACTCTAGTTTCTTCAAAGTCTTATGGAAACAGGATTTAATATACACCATTCGACGCGCCACAAAAAGCTCTACAACATGGCCCTTTAAACTCCGTGATCAGAACGTTTGGTCAATCCTACCCAGATCCACGATTACGGACTTCGTCTACGCCTGTAAACGACTATAAACGGTCGTATTTTGGCGGTTTACATGGTCCAGTATTACGGTCGTATATCGCCGTGATTAATATTAAATAAATGGCAAAAGTTCCGCATTAATCTTCAAATTAATTTCGATCTATTGATATTATTTATTATTGGAATTATTTTACGCAAAAATGTTAATATTAAATAAAGATTATATTTAATTCTAATAGTTATGTTACTTATAACTAGAATTTTCTCAGTTAAATCTTAAAACCTTCAAATAACAGAACAAAAGTGTTCTATTATTGAATATGGTACTTCTGTCTACAAAAAACTTTTGTTCTCTTTCGAAATAACAAATGTGAATAAGAGAAGAAAATATTTATTCTATCATTGGAAACATTTCAGATTGAATATTGAGAAATCTAGTTGCAGATATAAAATCTTGTAGAATTGAAAATAATGTTTAAATCTGTAGATAAAAGAATTCATATAGAAAATTCTAGAAGAGTATTAAGCTTAATATGAACTGTGATGGTCAATCATTAGTATTTATTTTATTTAAATTCTAATAGGATAGCTGCTAAATATTAACAAACTTCTTTTCTATCGAAATTATATCTAGTATAAAAAATAAATGATGAACTAAGAATATTCCTATGAATAATTTTATTTGTTTTATTTTTAGTAAAAACAAATTGTAGTTCATATGAATCTTGATTGATTTTAAGACATTTGAAAACTAATGTATCATTGATGAAAAATAAAAAAATTAAAGATTCTTTTTAAAAAAGTGAATAGCATCTTGAACGGCTTTATCTTTTTGTTGATTAACTTGTTGAGAATCATCTGGTCGAACAACAAATCCATGAGATGTTCCTGGATATTCAATAAATGTTCCAAGACCATTTGAATTTAATTCTTTTTCAAATTCTTGTCGAAGATCCGGAATGAAAAGAGTATCATTTTCAGCACATAAAAAAAGAATAGGTCGTCGTATTTGTTTAGCCTCTTCTTTTACTAAAAATGATGGATGTGCTACAACTGATGCTTTCACTAACGATGACAATTCAGGATGTGTTATTAAATGAACAACTACTTTAGCACCATAACAAAAACCAATAACCTAAATAAACAAAAAAATCGATTATTGAATAAATAAAAATTTTATATTAACTTGAATTGATTCATAATCGCCTTTGATGGTCGAAATAAATCTATCAGCAATATCACATGCATCTGTTGTAGGATGTTTTTTTAACCAACCAGGCAATAAATCCCATAAATTAGGTTCATTGGGATCCATTGGATCTCCATTAAAATAATCAGGAATAAAAACTGTTGTTTGACAACCTTGAGCAAAACTATCGGCTAATTTTCGAACATTAATAAAAGAATAACCAAATATATCCGTAAATATGACGATAGCTGATTTTCCTTGACCTGTTTTATAAGTATTTACTCCTGCTATTACTTGTTCATGACCTTGTGCTTGATGAATTTGTTTTGCACCAGGATCAACACAACATGGACTACTCATTGTTCTGAATAAGGTTTTTTTTTATATAAAAAAAAAACGAACAATAAATATCACTATCTTACAATATATTTACTTAATGTTTCGTTTCAAATTCAGATAAAGAGAATAGGCAAAACGTGGTATATTGTCAGAGGAGTTAAAAAGTATATCTTCCTTCCAATCAATAGTTTATGGAGTTCTCACCGGTGACACCTATATTTATTGGTCTCTAGAAATAGATTTTCAAAAGATTTTCATATAATATACTTGAGAAAGAACAAAGTAACCTTATGAGGATACACTCCAGAGGTCTAATGGTCTCGACTATGTTGTGCTGAATCAAGATTACGGTGGGCGTCAATGGGCTGAATCTTGAATAAAACGTAAAATTTTCAACAGATATTGTGTGTTTTCATGAAATTTTTTTTTCGAGAATCCTACGTATTTTTTCCATTGACCAAAACATTTCTACAATGACCAGCAAATCTATAAAGCAAAAATAAAGAAAAACATAAAATTGTCGTCACCTTAAAAATTTTTCTTAATATTCAACAAAATGTCATTTTCTATCTCTCATCGTTCGTCAACAATGGCAACATCATTATCAATTACTTTTCATAATTCTAATTCTATTCTTACTGAACCTATTCAATCATCAATATTTGTTAACACTTTTTCTTTAACTACCACTGCTGGTTCACCATCGTATATACCAAACATTATACGTCGGAAATGAATCAAATCTTGTTTTTCTGATACAACAAGCATCAATATATGTTATTATTAAAAATGAAAAAACAAACATGTCTTTATGTCGAAAAGTTTTTGAGTTTCCAACTGAAAAATCTGTTGGAACCAATGAATTCGAGAGAATTAAAGGTTTTTCAAGTTATCAAATATGTTGACGAACATTTATTTATATATCAACTACTAGTACTCGATATGTGATTGCTCATTCATGCCGGAAAAATTTATCGAATGCAATTAGATGAGTAGCCTATGGTTACTAACGAATGGACCATTTTTTAAGAAAAAAACTATGGTCTGGATTGGATCAAACATCGATAATCCATAGGCCGGCTTTCTTTGGCGTAGCACAGCCTAATGATATCTCTGATATACTCATTACTAGCAATTCTCTTTTTACGGATAATGCGTTTATAGAGATTTGTTTTCATAAAAACCGACATGATGTCGTATGACTATTTAAAACTGGCTACATTCTTGTTACAATCTGTATCTAAGAGTGTTCATTGAGTATTGATCGGTCATAAACAATCCAGAAACGAGCACTTCTATTCAAATTCAATTTGAAGAAGTAGTGTGAATGGAAAGAGAACTGATTTCTATAGGTATACATAAGACTATTGATAATATTCCTTTCAAGGCGTAGGTAAAATTAGCCAAAGATTCGAATAAAAGCAGCTAGAATTCGCCTAGGAACTTGTTTCAACTGTTCCAATAGTTTCAAGTGCAACTTGACAAGCTCTATATACTGGTACAATCAGATTTTCCATAGCTGAAAGTATGATTTTTGGGACCATAGATGACACTATGAAAATCTGAAAGCCGTAGTTTGAGATATGTAAAATCTGAATATACTATTGGATAGCGCTCGTCGAGTTGTACTTGGAACACTTATTGAAACGTTTGGAACAGACTCCTAGGCGAATCCTAACTACTTTTACTCGAATTTTCGGCTTGAATTTCAGCAGAAAAATGTAGTATTTGAGGGTTTTTCTCAACGATAGTTTGAGCTATGGGAAATCTGATTGTACCAATAGATAGAGCTCGTCAAGTTGCACTTGAAACTCTATTGGAACAGTTAAAACAAGTTCATAGGCAAATTCTAACTGGTTTTACTTGAATCTTTGGCTAATTTCACCTACGTTAAAAAAAACTTTTATTATATACAAAAGCAAGGAGAAGATAATATGACTAACGAGGAGAACGAAATAAATGACACGTGTAAAAGATAAAAATATTAGAGGTCACGTATTTTCACATAGAAAAATGAAATAGATATAATAGTATCTATCATCTTTAGATTTGCATCTATTAAAATACTTAAAAAAAATGTTTACACATATTCCTTTAATTGATTTTGGCCCTTTTCTTAATGGAACAGATGAAGATCGTCAAAAGGTATCATCAAGTATAGGTGATGCTTGTCGTAATGTTGGTTTTTTTTATTTATCAAATCATGGTGTATCATCATCACTTATCGAACGTGTTTATGAACAAGCAAAACATTTTTTTTCTCAATCAATTGAAGAAAAAATGAAATTATATATTGGCTCATGTCCATATGGAAATAATCGAGGTTATACACCAATGTTTGAAGAAAAATTAAGTCCTAAAGGTGATCTTAAAGAAGGTTTTGATCTAGCAATGGAATTACCAGCTGATGATAAAGATCGAATAGAACGAGGAGCTTCTTTATATGGACCCAATTTTTGGCCTGATAATCTTGAAGGTGATAACACTTTTTAACAAGAAAATAATCTATCTCATTAAATATATTTATTTAGGATTTCGTGAATGTATTTATGATGAATATTATTTAAGAATGCTTTCTCTTGGCCACCAAGTATTAGAAGCATTTGCATTATCTCTTAATTTACCTTCAAATTATTTTAAAAATATGTGTCAAAAACCAATGGTGACAATGCGTCTTCTTCATTATCCTCCACAATCAATTATTACTGATGAAGATCAACTTGGTTGTGGTGCACATACTGATTACGAATGTTTTACACTTCTTTCTCAATCAAATCAATCAGGTCTTCAAGTACTTAATAATAAAGGAGAATGGATTAATGCTACACCTATTCCAAACACATTTGTTGTTAATATTGGTGATCTTATGCAACGATGGACAAATGATCAATTTAAATCAACAATTCATCGTGTTATTAATACAAGTGGAACAAGACGTTATTCAATTCCTGTTTTTTTTGGACCTGATTATTTTGCTCAAATTAAATGTTTAATGACTGATCAAATAGCCAAATATGAACCTGTTATTGCTGGAGAATATTTAACACAAAGATTTAATGATACTTATCATTATAGACAAAAAGACTCGACTTCCTCAATGTAACTTCTGAAAGAATATTCTTTCTTAATTCATATTTAATGGAAATATTTTCTTGTCACTGATACATACTAAACATTGAATTAATACTACAAAAGAAATTGTTTACTTCGTGTCATTCTAACATTAATCATAAGATTTTCGTAGGTATGTAGAAGCGGAAAAAAAACAATTCGCTTGAAATTTTTTAAGTTCTTGGAAATCGAATAAAACAAGTTGACTGCATTCTTGGCAAAAACCCCGTAAATGTTTAAAAAATCGTCTTGTTGTTTTTTTTTTAATAAAATCTTCCGTTTATTCAAACGACAAAGAAGGCAAATCGAATTTCACTTCGTTGTCTCTAGTCATTTTTGTATGAAGACTCACAATAATGAGATTTCAAGTTATTGAAATTGATAAAAGAAAGTTAAAGATGATGGTTATATTGACAAGATTTTACGTTTTCCTTCAAAACAATAATAACTTAATTGAGATATTTTTATTCTTTTTTTTCTTTCAGAAAAGTTTTAGTTTTACGATACATTATCTTTTTGATTTCCGAAGCAGATGAAACAAATTACATTTTCTAGAATATTTGTCTGAAAAAAAAATTGTGCCTTATTTCCAATGTACAAGTTGATTCTGTTACTTTTAACACTTGTATTTTTCATATATAAAAACAAAAAAAAAAAGAATAAAAAAAAAACATGTAATATTCTATATGAAAGTTTGAAGTATAATATACTGTAAAAAAATCTTCAGTGCGAAGGCTAGACTGTTTCCGACGGGTAGGGCCTTGAAGGCTTCCCTCAGAGTCGATTTACCGCTTAGAACGGATCATTTGGGCTGAAATTTATAGGAATGAGTGATCCTAATGAGAAATGCTTATGGGAAAAATTTCAGCCCGGTACGTCATACTAGATCGAACTTCCAGCTTGTTTATGTGGCTTCCAGGAGAATGGTTATAATTTCGTCACTATAAGAGGTACAGAGCTCGAGCTGATGTCAAATTAAACCTAACATCTGTGCACAACTTGTTCAAACAGATTTTTTGAAATTTTCTTCCATTCATTTTTTATGAGCATTAGCATTTCAATAGATATGTTGTTCAAATGAGCGCGAAAAAAGGTAATCCTTACGACACTAAATTCTACTTTTCTCAGATCAAGAATCGAATATAAAAAATCTGGTCGAAAAAAAGGTTTACTCTCATTGAGACCTTTAAAACAAAAAAAATATTGTTTATACCTTGAACCAGGTGAGAGTTATTTCAATTTTCCTGCCTGGAAATTATGTTTTGAGACAAAGGCTAAGAAAGTTTTAGAAATGAACTTTTTCATCTAAATCCATAAAAAATTTTATTACAACTGCATATTTTTAATACATTCCAGTAGACTGTTTTAATGCACATAACTGATGAAGATAGCTAAAGCCATTTGTCATGTTGGTTAATATAAAAATGTTCTATTCAATACTATTGTAAGTGACAACGCAGTTTTTCCATAACAAAAAAAGAAACTTTCAAAAAAAACTAAGAAAATTTCTTCGAAAACATGATAGTAGAGCCGAAGTTTCCTGCATTAAGTCTGTGAAATTCTAGTCGTTTTGCGAAAAGCTATATATATTCTGAAAGATGAAGCTTTGGTGCATCTTTCTATGACAAAAACTCAACTTCCATATTTTTTCGTAAAATTAGGTTTCCTGAGGGAGTCCCTTAAGAAAGAACAATTTTTGTGATTGAAATGAAATGAAATTGTATTGTATGATTTAATTCGATATGAACAAGTGAACTTGTTTATTCAAAATGAAAGATATTAATGTTCAATTTAGTTTTCATCGAAACTTAAATATTTATTCGAGATAAGTTTTGAAAAAAAATTTCATAAGAATTCTGCTTTATCTATTTTAATTGTTATTTTACAAAGAAAAAAAATTAAAAAAAAACGAAAAACACAATAAACTAAATATAAATTGATGTTAATGTTACAAAAGATGATATTATTTAAAATAATATTATTTTTCTTTAATAGAAAATCTATAAATAAAATCTTAATGAAATAATATTTCGACTTTTAATTTTCTTATCGAAACAAATGAACAGATTTATACATAGATATCTATATAAATATTATTCGTATTAAATATATCATTTATGAATTTAAATAAAACTAATTTATGAAAAGAATTATTCGAACGTTTTTTTTTATCAAATAAACTCATTTGACTATTTAGGTAAATGACTTTCATCTAAATTGAAAATTTCAGTTGAGTATGTTCACAATAAGTCTATGTCTACTAATCAATTTTTTTCTTTTCTAATCAAAGAAAACTTTTTAGTGGAAAGAAAAAACAAAAGAAAATTTTATTTGTCTCTTAAAAGAAGTTTTTCTTGAATTTTTAATTGTTTTTCATATTGTTCCATATTTAAACGATGTTGTTCATCTCGACGAGATATGTCAGCGAAAATATTTGCTCGTTTTCTCTAAAAACAAAAATTCTTTTCTTATTAACTAAATTTAAATAAAACAAATTACTTTTTTTTCTTTGTCAGTATAATAATTAACAGTTAATACCGTTGCTCCTGTTAGAACTAATGATCCAACCAAGCATATTCGAGCACCGGTCGACATCAATTTATTATTTTAAGAAATATTCATTTAACTACTATCTAAGGTAAACAATGGATTCATATATGGTTTCCTTATCAATAGAGGTCATTATTCAACAATCGATATTAGTATTATTCCATTTGTCTAAAAAAGGCATTCATTTTAATAGAACATTAATTCAATCACTTTGAATTCAAATGTAAGAAAAGTTAGTAGCGGATTCGAGCATTCTCTGATGACATTCACTCCTGAATCTGTGCTGGCGTTCTCGTTAGTTATGCTGAGTGCAGATTTTAATTCTCTTTCGAATGATGTCAATTTCATAGAGAGTCATCGAGGAAAAGGTGAAGGTTTGGACTAAATTAACTGGTACTTGATCGCATCTCCATTATATTTGCGTTTGTTGCATTCTGATGAATGCTCGCCAGTAGTGACTAAGTGGTTCACGTGTTTTAATAACATATTCGTCTTCTGAGTTGCACCAAAATAAAAGATTCGAGGTTTGCCAAATAGGGCACAGAATCAAGTGTCTTATGGATAGCTTCAAAAAGTCTATTGGAAGAAACTACTCAAAAAATGAGAAATCTGGTTTTTTAATACTAGTCTGAGTAAGAAGCGAAAAATTTCTGGAAAATGTTCGTTCAAGTTTCTGTACCAATGAAAAGAATGTTTGTGCGAGATGGAGCTTGATTACATCTCTTAATTAAGTGCGAAATTTTCGATTCCCTAGACAAGAATAGATGAGTTATTTAAACACCGAGTGCAACCAGCAGCCATGCCGTTTCGTGAGCTACCGCAAATGGACTTTTTCAACATCTTTGAATCGTAAAGACCTGAAAATCCACGACATCTTATACATTTTTTTTTCTTACTGCTTTTCTTTATTACATTATTAGCCGTATAAAAATTCATGAACCATAGAAACCGAGCAAAAATAAAATAAAGAAGAATAAGAGGTTCATCAGTAAAACTGTGAATGTTTCTAGCACAGACATTGACAATAAGTATCATGCTTTATATAAAATACCATATAAGTCTTCGCATGATAAATTTAATATTATTATGTAGTTTTTACTACATAACATTATTTATAACAGAAGGGAGGATCATTGTGCGTGAATTAATCCATCTATGAATTGCATATGTGTTCAGGCTAGGAAACGACTTCCACTAAAGTATTTCTCTGAGTAACATTATGAACATCACAATGTTACTTATATTTCATCTCGTAATTCATGTATCTACACAATGGGAAAAAGTATTAAATTAATAGATCTATCAACTATCACATGTATAGCTACGTATTTTCATTAGAGAGCGTTTATACTTCCATCGTTTCCACTTAGAAATTATGCTCTATGTTCTTCCCTAACATTTATTCAAAAACAGTTGCATGCAGTACTTGATTACAAAGAGTATGACGATAAAACTCTTCTAGAAAGCAGAAGACCGGCTCAAGATAGAGTGAAGTGGAAGGATAGCAAGCAACGAAAACGGAGATATGAACATTGGAGAGACAGATAGAGACAGAAGCGAGCACATCAGATGAGAAATCGTGACCAAGACAAGAAGAGATGTAGAGATGGATGGTAAGATAGAAATGGAGAAAGAAGAAGAAGGAGGATGAAGAGTAGACAGAAAAAGAGAGAGATAGAGTTAATGGGACAAAAGTGAGACAGAGAGAGTTAGCGATATAAAGAGGATAGGAGAGAGAGTTAGGCATACAAAAACGAGAGAAAGTTAGTCATACAAGAAGAGAGAGACAGACACAGAGAAAAAGATAGAGACAACGAGAGAATTAGCAAGAATTGACATACATTGCAATATTACAATGACATACTAAGAACCAAATTTATTATGATCTACAATTCTTTAAATTAGCATTTGACATTTCTCTTCAGTGTTACTTACCTTAACTCGCTTCCGACGAAAAAGCATGCAAGTATACGGGTGCACCTTACCTCAGCTATATTATGATCCATAGATGATAAAATGGATAGGAAGTCGTTTGAACTAACTAAAACATTGGCCTGACTCACCAGGATCTTACACATTGAAGAGAACGAAAATAACGTGTAGGAAAACCAATACCACTTCAATTAATAATACTATATTAACGTCTTCTGCTCCGCATCACCTCGTCAATAAGCTCCCTATGAAACAACTCATTTAGAAGAATCGTTTCTTCTGACTTCACTCTCCTAAACATGACTATATTGTGTCATATGTAAAAATGTTTCGTAAAGCACAGTTAATCAAACTGTTAACCCTTCCACCACCTGCACGGAAGATCAATAAAGTATTCAAAAGGTCCTACTTGCGTGGAATGATGTATTTGTACAAGAGTATCAAAACAAGGCTTTTTGCTAGATGACCCTCCTTCTTCCCCTCGCCCTCGAAAATACCACCATTCAATAGAGAATCAAATTCTGCACCCAGCACAACTGACTAGAATGACAGCAGGAAATGCTTGAATCCGCTGCTAACTTTTCTGACGTGTACATGGCCGTATTATCACTTTTTATATAGTTCACTATGATAATAATATATTTCCGTCATTCTATATAATCTAAAATGAGGATTCTATAACACGAACTTGTTATAGAAAAAGTGAGTAACAATGTTTTTTGTTTCAATAAACGATTATATTTATTTGAATTTGATCGTTTCGGAGTGTACATTTATTTGATGTCACAAGTCGTTAATTATCTTTGATGTTTATTGAGATTTACCAAAGTTGATATTAGCTTTACTTTTCAATTTTGATAAAAAAATGATGTCATAACATCCATAAACTCGCTTATAGAGATTTATAACATAGCTATTTAAATATTCACTTAATCAATTCACTGCACTTGTATATTGCTAAATTAACGATTTTCAGTGAATATGGTGTAACAAGATAGATAGCCAGCTCCATACTTATATTTAGGCATTTAGCTGCTCTGTTGGATATCGTGACTTTTAGCTTGTTGTTACCCAGCGTATGAATATAATGACATTTCTGGAGTGATTAAGTAAAAGAGAAAAATAATAATGTAAGCCTTTGTTATCATAAGAGAACAAATTCGATAGTATTAGATGGATGAAGTTATCTATAGATTTGAATATTTCCGTCTGAGATTCGTCCAGGAGCTTGTTCAAATACTGTTGTTCTTGTTCCACATAGAACTCGACGTTCTTTACCGATTGATGTAGCTGACGGCGTATTTCCTTCTGGAATTTATCCAGGAACAAATTCTCCACACATATGCACTGTATTTCTACTATCGGCTAGTGGTTTAACCAATATATATCTGTCGGACTGTTGAGAAGTTACTAATTTTCTAATGATTAATATAAAAAATGATTATGAATAAGTCTAAAGAATAAGATAAACATAATTAAGAAAATTTCGTACGTTATAACAAATTATTCTTTGGAAAAATTAATTTTTTTCTTTAAATCTAAACAAAAACAATAAAAGAAATTTTCGAAAGAACGAACAGATTTTTTTAGTTGAGAAAATAAATTATTTTATTAGAAAAAAAA